CTGCGGTGGCCTCAAAGCTGCAGCCTTGCTCCTGCTCCACAACACAACTGTCCAGCCTTAGTGCCTCCCTGTCCTGCCTCCTACAGCAGGAGCTTCAAGCCCCTCTCATCCTTTCCATGGAGACAGAGCCTCCCATCACCCGACCCCTCCCTTCCTGTCCTTCACTACTCCAAGATCAGTGCCTCCACCCATGCTCTCCCTCCCGCTCCTTCTATTCTTCAACGTGTCCCTTTCCCACATGGGCACTGCAGCACCTGACAGCACGGCACCTCAACCTCTCCATGGCTACGGCCACTACTCTCTTGGGGCTGCTGCTTCTGTTGTTGTTCCACCTCACTCCCCTGATTCTTCTGCCTCTGCCCATTGGCCAAGGGCAGGGGTGGCCCATGGTTGTCCACGAAGCCACTGTTTCGCCACGTTCCACCCTTTCCCCACAGTAGTGACCTCGGCTGTGCCCATCTCCAAAGAGCTCCAACAAACTGGTAACACCAGTCTCTCAGTGGACCCTGGATCTTGCCCCTGGGCTCTGACCTGGAGGCTCTCCAGGAATATCCCATTGGCCCTTCCCATCTAGTTCTTCGGCTTCAGCTATTTTGGGTCACAAAGGTTCCCCAGTATGCATCTAATTCTCTCCAGCATCACGTGAAAGCTCTTCACGTCCACTTCCCATGGTTTCCTCCTTACCCCGTCTCCCATCTCAGACCCTCATGTCAAACCTATTCAAGCCCGTCACCCCTCAACCAGATTTCTCTTTCATGTTTCTCGTCCCTCTCATTAACCTTTGAGGCTGTTCTCCCCTTCTTGCTCACCTTTTTTAGAGGTAGAGTCTTGCTATAACATAGCCCAGGTTGGCCTCAAAACCATAATCTCTTGCCTCAGTCTCCTCGCTGCTGGCCTGCACCACCACCATACCCAGCCTCATGCTTTTCCTTTAAGAAAAATATCCCTTCTTTGTTTTCTTTAAGACAGGGCCTCATGTAGCTCAGGCTGGCCTTGAACTCATACTAGCTATGTAGCCCAGGCTGGCTTGTAACTCTTGATCTTCCATGTCTCAGGTTCTAGGATTACAGGTGAGCACCACGCTTACCTTCCCATATCTTATTCTTATCATCTAAAACTTCACTGACTGGCCAGGGGGTGGAGCTCAGTGGCGGGTATGACGGATCCCCAGCAAACAAAACTTCTCCATACAAACAAAACGTCCCTGGTTTCCTCACCACAGGATAATATGAAAATATCTTGTTCTGGCAAGAAAGGAATTCATAATCTGGCCCCATTTTACCTTTCAACCTGAATCTTCTATAGATTCCTACCTCCCCTCCCTCTAAATTTTCCTATACATAATCTCTGCCCAAACCTCTTACAATTTCTGGTTTCCATGTCTTTTCCCAGCATGTCTTTCGCATACCTTCCTACAAAGTGCAGTTCAATTGCTGCCTCCTGTCTTAAAGCCTGAAGCCCTTCCTTCTGGAGATATTGTGTGCCCTCATTATAGCACTCCCAACAGCACTTATGCTATAATGATCAGAGATTATCTTCTACCTCCTCCTAAGTCCTGTATTCCTATGTTTGCAAGGCTGTGAACCCACAGACGGCAGGGACCGGATTTTTCTTTCTTTTTTTAAAATAATTTCTTATTGAACATTTGTGTATTTCATACATAAAATCATCTTTATATCCCCTTCCCCTTTGACACACTCCCATAGCGCCCCCACTGGAGTTCCTACACTCTGTCATTTGTATTAAGGCCTATTATGTAAAGTTAGTGTCCTGAGACATCCCTCAGTGCAAGTTCATCCACCGGGGTTTAGACAGCCTATTTAGAGTCTCTCTCTTCAAGAAGATCAGCTCTTCCTACCCAGAAGTAATCAGCTGCCAATAATTCTTTGACTAAGATCGGGGCTTGCTGTTCATTTCCACAGTTCTTTGCTGAGTTTTTGTCTGCCTAAGTTTTCATGGGTCTTGTACATGGTGACACCATTGCTGTAGGCTTGCAAGAGAAGGGTCCCAGGTGCCTGTAGGACTCTTTCCATATGGTCACACACTTCTTCCCTGGCTCTTACAACCTTTCCACCCCCTCTTCCGAAATGGTCCTGAGCCCTGGGTGGGTGGACCTCAATATGGGAGACCTAAGGACTCACACTCTGCAAACTCTTAGTCTCTGTGTTTTGGCCATTTGTGGCCTTTTGTGTTCCTGGTCCTCTATTGCATGAGGGAGCTTCATTGATGAGAACTGAAAGATGCATTAGTGTTCTTTTCATCCCTTGTTCTATGTTCCTGAGTCTTAGGTGTAGAGGTTGCATCTTAAACGTGCCACTTAGGCTTGGGCAATTCACGGAGAATCTCTGCGTGTGACCAGTGGTAAAACTCTGTAATAATCTGTCTGTTGAAAAAGAAGCTACTTTGATTGGTAATGACTGGGATACTTGTCTGTAAATTTAAGGATCCATATTTTGCATATAGCAAGAAATTACATTTGTCCTAGGAGGGACTGGATTTTTCATGACCACCTTAGGTCCTCAGCAACTGCGCCTAATTTTTGTTAAATCAGAGTTATTATCTTTTGCCCTGTAGTATTTGTTCTCCATATGTTGTTTCTTTGAGGATTTTGCCAATATTGCTCTATGTGTATCACTTAGCACTACGCAGAGAACTCTGCAAGTAAAACAAAACAGATCCTCAACAGAAATCAGTCTCCCCACCTTTTTTCTTTTCTTTTCTCGTAGCCCCAACTGGTCTGGAACTTGATATGTAGAAGAGATCCAAATGCTTCTGCCTCCTCAGTGCTGAGATTAAAGGTGTGTGCCACCACACCCACCTCGTCCCCCTTTTAAAGACAGGATCTGGCTATGTAGCCCAGGCTGACCTCAAACTTGGGACAATCTCCTCTTGCCTCAGCCTCCTGAGTGTTGGGATCACAGGCATGGGCTGCTAAACCCAGCAACAATCCATTGCATTGAATGAATACCTGGAATGCTGGAATGAACTTGAACCCAAAACATCCAGTATAGACAACCACCTAATATTTGTTAACGAAGATTTCCCTATTCCAGGTCTAAACAAGCCTTAGGTTCCTGTCAGCTCAGCTCAGTGCTGCTGTCAGTACGAGGTAAAGTTTATGCAGATAAGGCAGATATTCTATCCTGAACAGTAATGACATGACAAATATCCAGTAGGTGGGCTGGTGAGATGGCTCAGCTACGTAAAGGTGCTTGCCCCTAAGTCTGATGACCTGGGTCCTGTCCCTGGGACCCAAACCATGGAAGGAAAAAAGTGATGCCCACAAGTTGTACCGACCTCTATAAAGCAAACCACAGCACACATGGGCACTGGAGTCCCCCACACATATACACAGATACAAAATGTAATAAAAACTTTTTCAAATATCCAGCAGGTGACTGTTGTGCTTGACAAAATTCCAGTCCGAAGCCCCAGGCAGGCACTCCTTCAGGTCCCTGAACGAGCACGGGAGGCCTGAGGCCATGCCCCACAGGCCCTATTCTTCTCTTTTCTGACTGCACTTCAGCCCCCAGCAGCAGTCAGATGAAATTCTGACAGCTGAAAGACCTGTACTCCACTGTGCTCCCTGTTTATAGACAGGGAATTAGTTCACAAGGGAGCACCCTGAGGTTACCCCAGCAGTTCTGGCAAATACAGGCTGAAACTCTCTCCAAGAGGAGGTGAACAGGCCAAAGATCAAACTGCACAGTCAGGAGGGAGGAAAGTTCAGGTGTCCAGGCGCCTCTTCTGCCAGCAACTCTTTCTCCATTTCACATGAGGGCAGGGAGGTGAGGAGGCATTTCATTCTCTCAATAAACATTTACCGAGTCTCAGGGCTTTCCAATATCTAGCTGTGTGATATTGCAAGTCCCTTATTGCTGAGATGGTTCCTCATCTACAGAAAAGATGATGGTGCTGTTTCCCCAACATGACAGGATCAAGTGATAAAACATGTGAAAGAGCTTTCTACCCAGAAAAGCTCTATGACTGTTCCTGTTATGCACATTATCTTCACCAACTCTCTAAACTTCCAGATGAGAAACCCAAACTCACAAATGTTAAATGGCAGCAGTCATGATGAGACCTGGGCCTCTTAATTCTGCCTGTCTGCTACTCCTGAGTTAACTAGGTTGTTATCAGTGAAGGCACAAACCCTGAGTCTTTTTCTTTTCCAGCTGGCATTTAGACATTTTTCTGTTAAAACTATGGCTACAGAAACACGAAAGAGGGAGGGCCGACAGGGAAAAGGAGGCAATGAGCAGTCCTGACAAGCTCACTAGTCCCTCCCTGGTTTGGGAGGACTCAGTCCCGGGTCACTCAGGGGCCTGGCACTCAGCAGCTTCACAGTCCATAGGACCAGCCACCGATGACCTGATGAGGTGGAAGGTGGGATGGGGGGTGGCTGAGGCTGGGATCTCCAACAAGCCCCGAAGCTCATGGGCGGTGAAGAGGCGGCGGGAGGACCCAGTCACAGGGCAGGCTCCCAGGTGCTGGAGTGGCTCTTCTCTCGGAAAGGGAATCTCTGACTCGAGTGAGTAAGGTTCCGGAAGTGCCTTTCCAGGAATTCTTTCCCTCTCTAGAACCCCTTCTCCACCAGAATGGAGTTATGTTTATTTTCCCGAACTATATATTTCCCAGGCCGGCACCTGGCCCTGGGCCACCGAACAGCCTCCTGGGAAAAGTAGTTCGACTTCGCTTCCTGGTGTGTGCCTGTCTCCGGATCTGCCGTCATAGAAACCTTCCTAGAAACCTTCTATTCCAGAGGGTTCCACAAGCACCAGAAGGGCCTGACAAGCTAAGCCATCGGCGTCTCCAGGTGTCCAGCATCCCACAGAGGCGCGACACCGAAAATACAAATCCCAGCAGCCCCCGAGCGCACCAGTGCGCAGGCGTAGCCGCGCCTCGCCACCCCTCCCCCTCCTCCATTGCTCCCGTCGGTCCGTTCCCATGTTCCCCCAATCCGTGCTAATGTGCCCCTCGCTCTGGCGCCCCCCACTCACCGCGAACTCGCGGCGTCGGGTACAGACGCTGCGCCTTCTCCAGGAAGCGGAGCGCCCGCTCAGCCTGGTTGCTCTGGATGGCCTTGAGGGCGATGCTGATACAGCGCTCGGCTTCATCCTTGTTGGATTCCATGGCGGAACCAGAGCGCGGAACCAGGGAGGGGGAGGCCGGGCGAGGGAAGGGCTGCGCCAGTCGCCGGCGCGTCGCGGGGCCGGCCGGCGCGGAAGGATGACATAACCCTTCGCCCCTCCTTCCGGGCTTTGAGTGAGGGTTGGGCCGGGGCGGAAGCCCTACAGTATGTCTCCTAAGAAAGGGGCATTGCGTTCGGTGGTACTGGACCGCGCCAGAGCTCTAGAGCTCACGTCTTGAGGTTGAGTATGCACGCACGTTCTTCGAGTAGCTTTGTGCGTTCCAGTTGAAGGCAGGCTGCTCCTTGAAAACATATTTACGAGTATTCAGCACTGTATGTCAGGCAGTGTTGTGTGTTGGGGAAGTGGTGTACAAGACAAAGTCCCTGTCCTCATGGAACTTACAGGCTAGTGTGTTTAGGGACGGGGAGACATCCAGTAAAACGGATGCATTCGGATCATAATACAGTCAAGGAAAATAACTTAGAGTACAGGGATCAAGGCGAAGAGGTGCTATTTTAAGTAGTGGGGGGCGCCGGAGCGAGGGGCACATTAGAGCGGATTGGGGGAACATGGGAACGGACCACGGGAGCTCTCGGAAGCTCATTTTACAGGCATCTGAATTCTGGAGAAACAGGTACACGGGACCGTCTGGTGTAAGGGTAGCTCAGGTAGAAGGAACGGCAAATGCAAAGGCTCAGAATGGGGATTTTCCTGGTGAGTTATTACAGGATTAAGAAAGAGGGGGCACATTAGAGCGGATTGGGGGAACATGGGAACGGACCACGGGAGCTCTCGGAAGCTCATTTTACAGGCATCTGAATTCTGGAGAAACAGGTACACGGGACCGTCTGGTGTAAGGGTAGCTCAGGTAGAAGGAACGGCAAATGCAAAGGCTCAGAATGGGGATTTTCCTGGTGAGTTATTACAGGATTAAGAAAGAGAAAAACAGCCGGGCGTGGTGGCACACGCCTTTAATCCCAGCACTTGGGAGGCAGAGGCAGGTGTATCTCTGTGAGTTCGAGGCTACAACATTTCACAGTGCTCCTCCCCATCCTCTGGCTTTTACAATCTTTCTTTCCCCTCTTCTGCTTCCCCCTCTTCCAGGGCCTTGGAGGAGGTGATGTAGATGTCCTGTTTAGGGCCGAGCACTCAACAGTCACTTCTTGTCAATACTTTGATCAGTTATGAGTCTCTGCATTAACCATCACCCACTGCAAAACGAAGCTTTGCTGACCAAGGTTGAGAGCAGCACTAGTCTGTGGGTATAAAGATAAATGCTTACAAGTCCGATTGGCAGCATGCCCAGTTCGCAGAACTTCAGTAGTAGGTTCCTCCTGAGGACCTGTGACCTACCCAGCCATGGGCTTTTGAGCAGGTTTATTGTAACAGGTATGTATTCTCTTCACCACATGCACATTCTTACGTGGGTAAACCTTCACTTTAGGTACTTTGGACAGTTGAATAGGGGTTTTAGTGGAGATTCAAATCCATGTCAGTATAACCTCAGCTTGCCTGCAAGTCCCCATGTTGAAAACACACCGAAACCTGTACAGTCCAGAGAATGACCTACAATAGCTACACTTCTGGTTTTGGGTGAGCGAGTTTTTTTGAACATATAGCTAGCCGAAGCAGAAGAATAAATAGAAAGTGATAGGTATTAGAGATAGATAGACAATACATAGACAGATGACTGATAGATAGGAAAACATCATCAATTTTGGGCTTGCAAACACCCAGCAGAAACTGACTGGGGAAGTTGAGGCAGTCAGCCAGCGTTCTCAACTGAACTTTCTCTCCAGGGCTGAGCTTCCCATGACTGAACTTCCAGCTTCTCTTTCTCACTGCTGACACGTTTGCGCTATCAGGGATAAACAATAGTAACTTCTGTTAGGAATGGTTCACCTTCTAGCTGTTCTCAAGGGCATGGTGGGGTCAAAAAAAAAAAAAAAAAAAAAAAGAAAGAAAAACTGTAGGGAGAATATAGGAGTCCCAGTCAGAACTCAGTTCAGTCCAGGCTCCTACTGCTGTGACCGTAACCTTGTGGAGGTTATCAGTGACGTAAACTTGGTCAAATACATTGTCATTTCTCAATCTTTACATTATGTGGACTTTCACATAGGATTTGGCAAGAAGTTATTACAGTAAGTCTAATGAAAGGTTAAAGAGCTACTGTTATAATCAGGTGAGATTTGATGGCAGTTTGTGTGTGTGTGTGTGTGTGTGTATGTGTGTGTTGGGGGGGTGTATGGCAAAGTCTCCTATGTAAACCATTTTTCTTTCCTTGAACTTGGGGTGATCCTCCTGCCTCTCCCAAGTGTTGGGATTAAAGGCATGCACCATCACAGCTGGCTAAATTCTGGGCATATTCTGAAAACAGTTTTCACTGCTGCAGTGGAAAGGTGTGAAGAATGAGAGGATTTCTGGTTGATTTGAATATTTTTGGCTTGTGTGGGAGGAGGACAGAATTTCTGTGTGCTAAAGCGGGGAAGCCTACCAAAGGAGCAGTTTGTCAGGAGCAGTATTGTTTGTTTTGGGGCGTGTTCAACTTGTGATGCAAATGGTGATTAGGAAATTGGGCATGTGTGGCACTTAGGGAAGAAGTTGGAGAGCTGAGGGTACAGCTCAGCAGTGGAGGGTGTGCTTAGCATGTGTGGCCCTGGCTTCAATCCCCAGCAACCCCCCCCCCTCAAAAAAAGGGTAGGAAGTTGGAGCTGGAACTCTGCCTTTGAAATTTAAATTTTTTGTTTATTTTTATTTTATGGGTATGAATGTTTTGCCTGCATGGATGAGTACACCACATGTGTGCAGTGCCCTCAGAAGCCAGAAGAGGGCATTGGATCCCCTGGAACTGGAGTTATGGCTGGTTGCTGGCAGACATATGGGTGCTGGGAACTGAACCTGCGTTTTCTGCAAGAGCAACCAGTGCTCTTAACCACTAAGCCATCTCTCTAGCCCCGATAGGAATGATTTAATTGGGAGAAATTTTGATAATCCAAATAAGAGAGGGAAGTTATATGAAATCTGGGGGCACAGGGAGTGTCCCGACCCGCAGGAGCTCGACTTTGGACAGACATGTGGACACTTATTATTTTTAGGAGAGGCTAGCTGGCAGGTGTGGAGGTTAAAGGCACGAGAATATTCTCTTCATTTATTTTCTCCATTCCCAAAGGAGCAAGGCTTGACCTCCCAGTGTTCCTTTTCAGTGCAAACTTTTTTTCTTACACCAACCACACTTCATTTTTTCTTGGGCCATGCAGTAGTATACATTTTATAATTTTTATTATATTTTTATAGAATATAGTTTGATGGTATTTAGATCTCCTCTATCTGCATGCATCCCCCCACTGCCCCCAGGCCCAATTTAATGTACATGCACACATATACATATATACATATATATATGTATATAGTACAGCCTATAGAGTCTGATTTGTGTCCCTAAATGTCCTTCAGTGTGGGTCCATCCACTGGGCCCACCAGGAGTCCTATCCCTGTAAGACAGTGTTTCTGCCCCTCCCAGCAGCCATCAGTTGCCAAAAATTTCTTAGGTTGGGTTAAGATTTCTTATCCCCTTCCCCATATCTGTGCTGGGATTTTGTGCAAAAAAATTTTTTTTTGCTTGTGCAAATTAAAAAAAAAAGATTTTTATTTTATGTATTTGTATCTATGTATGAGTATGTGCTTGTGAGTGAAGGTCAGAAGAGGGCACTGGATCCCTGGAGCTAGAGTAACAGGCAGTTGTGTCACCTGAGGTTGGTGTTGGGAACTAATAGTTACTTTCCTGTTATTGTGATAAAACACTGATCAAAGCAACTTGTAGAAGGAAGGGTTTATTTGGCTTATGATTCCAGAGGGATCAAAGGCGGGGAAGGCATGGTGCAGAGGTAGCTGGAGCAGAAAGCCGAGCAATCACATCTTCAGGAGGGCACAGGAAGCAGAGTGTGACTGGAAATCTGGCAAAGCTTAAGAACTCTCTAAGTCCTCCCCCAGTGCTTCCTCCAACATGGCCACACCTTCTAATACCTCCCAGGATACCACCACAAAATGGACAAAATGTCCAAACACTTGGAGCCTATGGGGGACATTCTCATTCAGACCACCACAAGAACTGAACTCAGGTCCTCTGAAAAACTGTTAACTGCTGAACCATCTCTCCAGCCTCCAGTGTAAGCTCTTTTTTTTTGACAGTTTTTCAGTTCTGGTGATTGAATTGTGCGTGATAGGCAAATGCTGTACCATTGAGCCATATCCTCAGCCCTTCATTTTGACATTTTCAAACACATATATAATGCTTTTGTCTTTTTGAGACAGGGTCTCCCTGTAGCCCCAGCTGTCCTGGAACTCACTATGTAGACCAGGCTGGCCTTGAACTCAGAGATCTACCTGCCTCTGCCTCCTGAGTGCTGGGATTAAAGGCATGTGCCACCACGCCCGGCCTGTAAACTCTTTTGACTCTTGGGAATGAAGAAATCAGCACCTCCTTAACAAGATGACCCTACAATTGAATAGATTGGCAGATTCCTAATGTATTATTGGTTAAATTATTGGGGTGTTGGTTTTTGAAAGGTTTATTGACCTAGGACTATTAATGTCCATCTTCCCATCTCCTGCTAAGTATCTTGAGTTCTTTTTCATTTCCTGAATGTCAAGAGGCTCCTTTTCTGCTGACCATGAGGTGCTTGAGTCTGTGAAGAGGGGACACCATTGGGAAAACCTGTCATTTCAGTGTGCTAAGGACCTGGATGTTTGCTCAGTCACCAGCTGGCAAGCCTTCCCTCTTTTCCTGCATTGCATATAAAATGGCAAAGCTTTATTTAAAATTTCTATCTAGAGCCGGGCGTGGTGGTCCACGCCTTTAATCCCAGCACTTGGGAAGCAGAGGCAGCACTTGGGAAGCAGAGGCAGGCCGATCTCTGTGAGTTCAAGGCCAGCCTGGTCTACATAGTGAGTTCTAGGACAGCTGGGGCTACAGGGAGACCCTGTCTCAAAAATACCAAAAAAAAAAAAAAAAAAAAGTTCAATCTAGAGTCAGTTCTGGCTTCATTGGCAGGTCTGGATCAGTAAGGATCTGGAGGTGGCTGTCCTCTGGTGAATG